GGCAGCAAGGCCCGTGGCGAAGTTTTAACCGGAATCTGCGGTCACGCCGATTTGGGGCAGTTCGGAGGCTGAGTTGACGATGCTGAAGTATGCCGTAGCATCGGTGCAGTAAGGCTAATCGTTTTGCTAGATCTAGCGGAACCGGTCACTGCACTGGCAAGACTGTCAGCTTCACTGGTCCTGATGGCGTTTGCTGTTGCGCTCTGGCTCTGGTGGCACTGCTCCTCATATGCTGCCTCTCGCGAGATCGGATTCTTTGCTGGCTGTGGTGGACCCGGCTGCTGTGCTGGCTCTGGTGAGCCCTCCGAACATTCTCTGCTCACTATCACCGCTTTGGGTGCTGAGAGGGAAAAAACAATGAGCGCACTCCCTTTGGTACAGTGGTTCTGTTCCATTTCCATACATCTTTCAATAGTTCCACGACATTAGTGCTATAGAAACAACTCCTACCGGTAGAAGTGCTACATTACTTCTACTGGTCGTACTGACACACGGCTTTAAGTGTTTTGCGACAAAACTCGTCTAATCCAGCCCGCAAAGATGAGCGATTTTCACACCGTTGTAGCGTTGCAGCTGTACTCACTTCGTCCCATGATGACGTCACAGCGTCGCCTCCCAGAATGCAGTAATAAGGGGGGGGGGGGGAGGGCTTGATGTCACGTATGAATAACGTCTGCAAAGTTCTTACAGCAGAAGTAATGTCGCGCATAACTGATGTCATGCACTTCTGTCGGCAGGAGCTTTTGCCGCAGTACTAATGGCGTGACACTTTGTGATTGCCGTAGCGTAGTCAGACGGATGCGGCTGCCTCTTTTTTGCAGCGCTGATCCTGACTAACCACCTACATAAACAGGCTGACTATTCCTTCCCTGAAGGCGGGTGAGCCGAGTACTTGGAGCCAAGTGGGTTGAAATTGTCTTAATGATCAGCCATGTCCTGTGACATTAGGGTTCCCCTGGGTGCTGCCCCACGTGTTTGCCCATATATTTGCCTGGAAATTATTGTACTGTTGGACGAAATGACTCGACAGGGTAGATTTCCTTGTTTGTGTCGGAAGCAATGGGTGAATTTTACGCAATTACCCTCGAAGAGTACGGTACCCTCACCCTTCTCCAAAATCCCGCCTCACACCGTTCGAGGTGCCGCGCAAGTAAATAAGTGTCCGGGACGATCTTTAAAGCAGCTGTTCACCATCCGTATAGCTGACGATGTCGCTAAGGTGTCCCAGTTGGGTGGCAGGAAAGATACGCGTACCTTTGTCATCTGTGCAAAAGGTGGTGACCTGTTAATTTCTTCAACATCTTATTAGTGCGTTATAACGTTTTATTACGAAACATTCGGAAACGGGTAGCAAAAATTCATTACAAATGTAAGCATGATCCGGTGCCCTCAGTCGTGTGGTCAGCTAGGTATGCATTATACGAATACAACAAAATACGTGTTCCGCAGTGCTATGTTGTCTTATTGCGCTGTAACACGCCACATGAATAGGTAAAGGGTACCGCAGTGCTATGCTGGTACACCACTGGTCTATCGGTTTTCACAAGACCCTTGCTGCAGCGAAAACTTTGCCGACAGTAGCAGCCTGCAGTGCGAGCGGTGCTTAAGAAGAAAAATGGGCCCATAAATCAGAAGCTTCTACGACTTTGTGGGTCCATGAATCGCAAAGTTTGTTCGACGGAACCAAACTTTGTTGGCCTGGATACCGCTTTGGTGCTCACCCGCCGCTGTCTCTGATCGTCGCGCCTCCAAATTTAGATACAGAAGCATTTCCACTATGACGAAAATACTAGGTTCTGGGGTCAAGTTCTTAGATAAATGAAACATTCCACATTCGAAGACAATGAATCAAACATAAGACACAATGAAAAAAGCTCTCTTATAACTACTGGTACGATTTTAAGTAGAAAAACTGCCCTAGGCAATACAATTTCTCCGTTAATCTCATATGCCCCTTGATACGTCATTGCTTGGCTAACTGATCGTACTTTGCACAACCTTGGTTGAGAGCCAATTGACGGCCATTATCTCTATTTCGCAACTCAAGGTTCCAGCTCTGTAGCTCTCAGAATCATATTGTGTGCTTGCGAAAAGTTGTTCATATGGTGGAGGGCTTCTTGGATGTATGGCTTCCAGGGATTTTGGCCGCTTGACCCTTCAGAAGAAAGTATGTAGATAAGCGATGGAGACTTATCTGATCATAGATGAGAAAAGAGGTCATCCGCCTTGTGAATGTCATTGTCCTCTGCTTCCACGCATGGGTCATAAAACTAGCGTCAATTTCTGATACGTTCTCTCTTCGTTTTGGTCGATGATCAATAACCCACCGGAACCATGTGTGTTTCGGCGCCTATTTGCGTGTGTGAACATGCATGCGTGTCTACTGGTACGTGTGTCGGCATCCTACCTGTGTAGTGTATGCATGGTAGGACAGAAACGCGGTGGTGAGACGCTAGGTGTGACGCCGTTGTACTGTGACGACCGTCTATTTACCCTCGTGTGAGACACCAGCGTCGTTACCGGACCGCTTGCAGCTATAGCCCCGTCTTTAGCCTTACGCTTTTGCACCACTAGCGACACGTTCCTCATCGATCAAAAGGTCCACCATTGACGTCAAGGCGGGCGCCGCACGACGCAGTCCTCAGGTAAGCAAGTCAGGTCGTTGCAATGCTTGGTGCGGCTGATGCGTTGAGAATGGCTGCCGGCCGGTGAGTGGGCGACGCAACTGTCTGCTCGGCTCTGACGTCACGGCGGCGGCGCCCTCCGGAGCGGCGCCACAGTCGGTGAATGCGGCCCATGCCGCGCTCGGCCCCGCGCGCTGGTGGGCCGACTATGCAGCGGCCTCACCGCCCCGCCCACCCGGAGTACAGGGGCGACAGCCTGCAAAGAAACGGCGTCAGTTTGTCTCACTCAGTATACCGCCGTGGAAATAGCTCGAAAGCTTGCCTTGCAGCCACTGCGAGCGAACTTCCGACTGCGGCGGGGAAGGACGCGGATGGGAGGTGTTCACGTTGTGATGGTGAGAATGTGGACCAGACGATTCTTGAACTATGACAGTGCCTCTGACTTGGGCGGCCCTGCCAGACCTCGCCGACAAGCTTCCGACCTTATTTGTACTTCCGCAGCTAATGGCAGCAGCTTTACACAGTTTTCAGTAACGAGCAGGAAAATGCTTTAATACGGATGGGCCTATCAAACACGATTTTCTAGTTTGTCTGTCCTCTGGAACACACGGCATATTCTCCTGCCACAAGCGGTTTTTCAAGCGCTTCAGCGTTCCGATTTTTTTCGTCGGCAATGCGATAGGATCAAACGCCGTCATGGTGACAGTGTCCACAAGGTGGCTACTAGTCTCCCATTAGGTCCGTGCTAAGGTCAAAATGTTGCATGATTATGAAGGCGTACAGAGCAGACTGCTGGCAAAAATAACGACATCGTATGAATTTGGAGAGAACAGCCCACCTGCTTTGTAAATCAAAATCTCGCCCAGATATTTAGTCCAAATTCGGTGCATTGTGTGTCTGGTCCCTTCAGAGGTCGTGCTTCGTCGCCTTTAAGGTGCTCACGTTTCAGTTGTTCATCAGGCCAAGTTTTCTGCGGCACAGTCATGTGTACAAAATGTCGGGTACTATTTGTGATCACCCTTCCCCATGCAATTGATTGCAACAAGTTTGGTTCGGAAGTCGCGAAAACGGAGGGATTTATGACACCAGGCAGACCGGCCACAATAGCGAAACGTATTAATTGTCAAAACTGGGCCTAATTCATGAAGCCCTCGTTGTGGTGACACAGATCTGCACGCTTTAGCTGCAAAGGGAATGGAAAACTGCAAAAGAAATGGAGGGGGGAAAATGGTTTGGTATGATGGTGCTGATTGCTTTCAACAGGTCACGTACACTCGAGTGTAAGCCCAGGTTCCGTCAGTATGGGCATTTGTAGAATGAATTTTCAATTAATTAGGCTGAGAGCGGAGACAAGAAACTACCCACAGTATAAGGTACTGTACCGTTACCAATCTCAAGTAGCGAGGTCGGAGGTAGCCAGCCCCGAAGTAACAAGCTCGGAGGTAGCCGGCCCGGAAGAAACCAGATCGACACCTGATCGATAAGGATTTTGTTTTTGGACAGAAGGACAACGTCGTATTTCCAAGAATGCAACGTTACTGGGAAGAAGACTACTCAGTATTTTTAAAAGTAGCCTCGAATAGATGTCACCGGGGTTTAATTCAAGAAAGCTAGCACCAGGATACACAGGTGTGTGGGGCGATCAGCTTCAACAAGCATGCATCCAATATATTTGCGTGTTTACCAATACTTTGGACAGTCAATAAAACAGGAATAAGAGGCATTCATCAATTTCAGCGCTATCCTCATGCTTGCCGTACTGTGCTGGGGAGCAGCTGCCACGAGCTGGGTCCTGTGGTCGAAGAAGCGTCGTAATGCTGGCCTAGGCCGCATTTACGTTACGCCCACCTGTCGCCCAGAGAGCACATCATCCCAGATTATTTTTTGACTAACTCAACCTTGACGTGATATGACTCTGACCCCGAGACTCGTGCCTCGCCCCTGGTGTCAGCAAGTGGCAGCAAGTGTGAGCATTTCACACCATTTCCAAAACCTGGCCCGCAACTGGTCAAATACCTCTAAAGGCCTTCAAACCGTAATGCAAACCTGGGCCTAGCTGCAAGAAGCTTAATTGGAAGCAAAACAACGCAATGAAGCCATCTTTGGAGAAGATTTGGTTGTGTCAGATTCAGGAAAGCATAGTTCTACGAATCAACGGTATTGCGACGACGATTTTCTGCGAAATTAGGTGGCGTTATTCAAAGTATCAGCGGAGAGCCGTTTCCCAAAGGCAATATTGCGACGAAAATGGCCATGACAACGAAATGAGGTGCTTGGAAACCAACAAGGCACATCGTTTCGTTAACAACACAGCAGCAGTGTGATTGATGAGGTTCAGCTAAGATGATAGACTCAGAGAGGTCATAAATCATTTCAGAATATATTAGCTTGACACATTAATTTCATATGGTGCCGGTGACAAAAATGTGCAACATACATACCACAATTCACCAGAGGTTTGCAACACTGTTTTAACGTGCACTTAGCAAGGCATCTACAAAACAAACACTCAGTGGTGAAAACGACGAAAAAAACGTGGTTCAGTCGCGTGCAACAGCAAAGCTCTGGCAGGTCAGGTCTCATAGAGTTAGGTATCCTGAAACATCTGAACATCCACTGTAGATTCAACACGATGCGCTTTTGACCTTGAATGACTTAGAATAGCCATCAGCATACATCACGTTGAATCAACTATTTGACACCTCAAGAACTATTGCAATACAAAAAAACAGCGGACGTGAGACGGAACACGTAACGCACGCTGCCTCAATCGAAGCATTTTGTATCGTGTAATGAGATATAATGGACACAACAGACCGACACATGCAGACAATCAGGTCCTACGGAAACGAATCATATGAACTGAGGAGAACGACACCAGAAAGATATTGGAAGGAAATTTCCGTGGTATTTGCCTAAAGCGGGCAAATGAACAAACTTCGGATGCAAATATTACATAAAACACTTTATTCCAAAACCACGCACCCTTTTAGGAAGTTAATAACACAAAACACTGGGATCTTTCGCCTTCTTTTAATCGTCTTCCAACGATTCACGCAATGAAATTGTATGGAATGGAATCACGTTAACTGGTTCGATACATTTCCAGAGGATTGCAAAGTTGAGATTGCGCTTCTGATGTCATTGCGGTCGCGAATTCGGAACACATGATGCAATAGCAGCCTGTACACTTGTACCTGTGCAGCTGTCATGCAACAAGCAGCTATGACAAGATGCCGCGAGTCTCGATGCAATAGCTTGCTGACATCACGTTAAAGCAGACACACGTCACGACGCACTACCCGTTAACGCGTGGCCAGGGATAAAGGTGGGCGATTCGGCAGGGCCGGACCGCTGAACACGTGACACCCGACGTACGCGGCCAGACGACCGCAGCCATCAGCTGGAAAATCAGCTTTTCGTATGGCTAAACACATTGATGCATGTTATTAAGCATTCACACGAAGACGTGTAAATGCTACGAGTGTATATCAGATTTATAAACCTGGACATCAAGACTGATAAGTGCAAAGACCCTCGGAGCCGGCAAACTGCCGTGACTGAGATACAAGCCCGGTACATTTGCCGTGGCCGAGCGAGTTCGAGAGAACATGGTGCTTCAATCGATAAGGCAGCTTTCCCTGACTGGACACAGCGCATTGTTAAGACAATTCGCTTGCACAAAGCAAAACAATGCACGCGCTATAAGATAAGGTGCTATTGCTCGGTCAACGTGGACTCTCCTTTCTTCAACGTCTCATCAGCATCTTCAGTGAGCTCGGCAATAACGTCTGCGCACTCGCTCTCTATCTGCTGCAGCACGTCCGGCCTCAGCTCCTTACGCCAGTGGGACGGGTCGAAGTCCGGCGCACGGAACGTGCTGAAGTACTTCGATCTCGTCCTGGAGCGCGCGTGCTGCCGCCACTGCCGCACCTGGTCCGTGGTCATGCGGGCCTTGAGCCGGGCCGGCGGGTCCTGCAGCCGGCCGGCCGCCGCCGCCGAGGCGTTCATGTGCCGCCTCAGGTAGCTGTCCAGGCTGGTCGGCCACGGCAGGCGCAGCTGGCGGAGCAGGTCGGTAGCGGTGTCGCGCGGCTGCAATGCCAGCTGCTCGTAGCGCACGCGCGCGTAGCGTGGGTCGCGCAGCGGCCGCGCCGCCGCCAGGTCGGCGCGCAGCCGGCGGCAGGGGGCGGTCGGGTCGCGGTGCACGCCGCTCCAGACGCCGCTCGCGTGCAGCTGCGAGTTGACGGTGCCGCGCGGGTCACGCACCAGGTGAACCAGTCGCAGCCGGCCGCCCAGCTGGTCGTCTTGCAGCAGCGGCAGTAGCGCCGACAGCGGCGGCCGCACCAGCTTCACCACGCGCGTGTCGGCGGTGCGGCAGCGGCGCGCTAGCACGCCGGTGCTCGGCGGCACCTGACCCACCGGCGGCCGCGACTTCCAGACGAACCGGCGGAACTTGGCCTCCCGCAGCACCGGCGACTCTTCCAGGTGACAGTTGAGCAGCTGGGTGACGGTGGCGCGCACCTCGGCGCCCGACAGGCTGGCCATCGATATGTTCTGCTTTAAGTGGTAGTAGAACGGCTCGAAGAAGTAGGCGGTGTTGATCGAGGTGCTGAGCATTTCGCCTGTGGGACATGGTGACCAGGTCAGAGCAATGTCCACGAGGCAGCGCATGTATTAGTCCCAACAAGGGCTGCGGAATGGTGGGCTGGCAATGGTGATGGGATTTGAGTCAGATGTATGCGACTGAGGTCGTGACTGACCTATAACATTTCCTTGGAGGTAGGAGAGATTAAAATATGGAAATAGAGCTGCCGACGAGTTCAGCGAGTAAAAAAGCGCGAGTGCGAGCGTTAGCCAGGGAGGAGAGAGAGAGAGAGAGAGAGAGAGAGAGAGAGAGAGGAGAGGACGAGGAGAGAGAGAGAGAGGACGAGGAGAGGAGCAGAGAGGCGAGGAGTATGAGAGAGAGATCGAGAGAGAGAGAGCGATGAGAGAGAGAGATGAGAGAGAGAGAGAGAGAGAAGGAGAGAGAGAGAGAGAGAGAGAGAGAGAGAGAGCATACGGCTTTACCGTGCTGAGAGCGAATGTGTGTTTAGTGAGCCGTTCTCCCGGAACGGACCGTGCGTTCCATTAAGCATTCAGCGATCCCCGCGCCGCGACGAGGCGAGCCGGGGCAAGGCCGAATGATTCTGGCGGCGGTCGATCGTGGCTGCAGCGAGCTCTCGTCCCAGCCGGCAGACAGGCCGACGGGGCGGCTGGCCGCTCCACGCGGCGAGGTCTGTGTCATCTGTCACGGCCCGACGCCCGGACAGTTTGGCACCAGTGCCACCGGACAGTTTGGCACCAGTGCCGGTGCAGAGGTCAGCTCGGCGGCTCTTGCCAAATAATACCCAGATAGATGGCGGCTGGAGCCCCGGGAGCTAGAACGCTGCTGGAACACTGATCAGACTACCCCCCATGCTGGAACGCTGATCAGACTACCATCCTGCAGGGGGAACGGTGATATGCTGACCGCAATGGTTTGACGGCAAACCTCTGACGTCAAACCATCATTCAGCCGCCATCATTCGAACAGATTCGCGAAACAGTTGCCTTTCCCCCGGGGACACGTAATGACTCAATATAATACTTCACATAGCAATGATGCAATATCACAACCCGCCGTATCGCATTGTCTGATTATGGCATAGACCAGGTTCTAGCATTGAATTTCAGCTACTTTTGTGCATTTAAAAGTTTTATGATTAACTTTGTATTCATGCAGAGCACTATGTTAAACGAATTGCTGACGTTCAGTACAATGTTAGTTGAATGCCTAAAGGGAATGTTCCATATCCTGAAGACACGGAAGCAAGCATCAGGTATGATGAAATAAGCCCACCTGTATCTACTGGCATGCTTTTAAGCGCGTTTGCTTTCAACAACAAAATTCACTAGCTGGCACACATGCTCCCCTATGCGTCATCGCTTGATTGTGTCATGGCATCTTTACATGACGTCAGGGTGGCTGTGAAACTGGCCGTGAGAAACTGTCAACGTAGCTGACGACTGACTCACTCGTAATGCTTCAAATTGTCCAGCTCTGGACACCTTTAGGTGTTGCGCTAATCGGTGCGTTCTTTACAGAACCCAAATATCGCCACGTGCGCGTGTTTCTACCCTTTCTGTTGCAGTGTTGGTTTCTTGTCCGTAATATCATAGTTTTTACTTGCATTCCCATCCTCCTTTATATGGCTATTCTTATCTTCTTCCATTCTCCGTCTTATTTCCGTCATAAGTCGTACCATTGTCCAGCTTCCTTCATCACCTCGTGCAAAAAGTGATTCGCGTTCTAATTCGTCACCTCTACCCATCAATCCCTTTCTTGCTTAATTTTGGATCCCCGTGACGCCCTGCCTGTCCGGGGCAGGCAGCACGCGCCAGCCACGAGCGGGCCGAGGGGCCTCTGGTGGGGGCGCCCGTCCCAGCGCACAGCGCACACCATGCAGAGGGGTCCCCATGCAGGTGGGTCTTGATGGTTGGGCCCCCAGGTGCATGTAGTTCTGCTCCACCTCCAGTTACTCAATCTCCTTCATCCCATTGCCCTGAAATGATCACTTCTGGTCGAAGGGGCCCTAATCCAAACAACTAAATCCAAATAGCAATGTCCGAGACTTACTCTGAACGCGTGACATTGGCTGAGAACCAACTGAAGTCCGTTTGTGCCAGAAATCGTGCCAGCGTATGCCATGGACACGGATAACCCGATGTCACATTTTTTCTGGCCTTGAACACTACATAGCCAATGAGTTGGTAATATTCGCGGAACATTTCTGTGACAACATGCGCGCCTAGGTGACATTGAAGTAGTCTGCAACAGATAGTCCGCACAAATTCGCGGGCATCAAACTCAGAAACCAGATCGTTTAAAGTCTTAAAACGGGAGGGGGTAAGGACTGCACTGAAGGATGAGGGCCTAAATAAGGATAATAATTAGGGACATGAACGATGTAGGGACAGGTAATAATAACACAAATTCCAAGCTATTGAAATCTGCTCCATTGCATTGTAAATCAATCAATGCGCTTCTATAAATAAATATCCATAGATATATATATATATATATATATATATATATATATATATATATATATGCAAACATGCATGCATATATATTTATTTATATACATATATGTATATATATATATATATACAATGTTAACTGCGCATGTGGCTGACGGTTCCAAACGAATTTTAATTGGACAACGCGTTTGATATATCTACTCAACCACGGCCCTGTGTGCCGCTGGAGAGGAGAAAAATAAGAATGGAGAAATCGCGGGGCCGAGGTTGTTTCGGGAATGTAAGGATAAGTGTAGCGTAGGGTACGACGTGAATCGGAACGGAAGCCTGGAATAACATGAAAGAGGGTAAACTAGAAGTATTAGAGAGAGCATCGGCAGCCGGACAATGGAAACGACTGAACGATGGACTCGCGAGGCGTAAATGTAAAGTGACGTAGTGGCAGGTGAGATGTTCTGCAGGACGCGCCGTAGTCCCACTCATACCAAGCGGCTGTAGCAGGGAGCGAACCACTCCACGAACTCTTCCCAATGTCGTTATGTTCGTCTCTAGACTCCAGCTCCTTTCCAGGGCAGTAAAGTTAGCCATGTGCCTCACCCGGTATTGGCCAGCCTCACAAACTGCACACAGTTCTCAAAGGAGCACGGAGTGCAATACGTTGCTGAGTGAAGATATGTTTGTGAGTCTACCAGATTGAAATCAACAATCATGCACACCTGTCATTGTTCATCGAAAGAGCCTAAAAACCCCAAATGATGGTCCCCACTGATCTCACGAGGATGAACTGAAGTGCATCCTTAGTAGTAAGTAGTACCACCAAGGACCAAATTTGGGATTGTTCCAAATGTTGCAGAGCATTGCAGTCGTGAATATCCGCGAAAAAGTATCCGGAGATTCCGTAAAGTCACAATCCACTCACAAAAACTGTACACCGTTCAGTAACCAAATCTGACATTGTTGCAAAACTGCAGGTTACTGCAACACTGCTTGGTGGCTAAATGAAGCAATGATGAACTAAAAATTGCCTCCATGAATCTAATAATGCTCAAAAATCCTGAGGGAGCACTTTGAAAAACTTGCAAGAGAGCAGTGAATGTTGCATGCAAGACAGCGGTCAGCGCCGCCCGTTGCAACGGTACAAAACAATTTAATATAATGCAACAAAAAACAAACATGCACCAGTTCATACCCAATATACATCCGCTGAAGTCCGGCGGGAATAACAAAATTAACACAATCTGCATAAGAACAAAGTATTTCCGCTTATCCCTGTCATCCATAACCTTGTAACTCGACCATGCCGTTCAGCTGGAAGGTATGTATGTAACTTAGCATACACTTCTCGCAACATAGATCTGGCGGCTAGCCATCCCAACGTTATTGCATTATTTGCTGTGGAGTCCAGTCAGCTGGGTTTATCACTTGCATGGTCAGAAACGTATGTTGTTTGCATGACCGGTAAATATCGGCGTCACACCTACTGATCAAAGAAGTCGACGCCACTTTCATCAGAGCGTCACGAACACAACCATACCGTGTCACAATGTGGGCATGCATGATGCCAAAGTGGCCCTATACGAGCTGCAACGTCGGCATTAAAGTATTACGCCCAGTTGAACCTTGTAGCTCATCGAGCCTCATATTAGCAGGCACCTAAATAGGCCACGCCGCGATGAAATATCGCTGAACTACGTAGCCGAGGCATTACATTCATCACAGCCTCCACGACCCGTCCTTGGGAGCCTCACCCCTGACGTAATTGGGATGCCACGGTTCTCATTAAGCATCGTCATCTGGTTGCTCTGGACACTGCAATCAACTGGCCCGAAGCTGACGACGTGACCCAGTCGACTAATGGTGCGCCGGTGTAGGTGGGAGGCTCAGCTCTGACTCCGGTGGGCTTTTGCTCCCCCGCACTGAACAGATGGCAGCAGTTGGGAGGGGATCGCCGCGAGATTGGCGCAGTGCCAACCAGCGCCGGCGTCATTGCGGCCGCGGGCGTTCAGTACATTTTGGTCTGATGAGCCAGCCCTTGGACGTGGTCAAGCTCTGAGTCACACGGGAGCAGACCTCTGTTCACCGGGGCAGCGAAATCGGCACATCACGCCAGCTTGGTATGCCCGCTGCAGACATGCGTGCCATGACGGCGAGCCTGACAGCGAGTAGCCAAGACTGCCGTGCATCGTGAATGCACCAGTGTGTGCTACCAGCACCATCTAACCAAAAAGGAAGACTGCCGTACATCGTAAATGCACCAGTGTATGCTATCGGCACCACCTAACCAAAAACCTCTTGCGATGCGGCACCAAATACACCCAATTAATCGTGACCTTGTGTGGGAAATTCTGCCAGAGCACGTAAACAACTAATGGGACGGAAAATTTGCGTTGTTCTGGGAAAAAGCTGTCATCGCAAAGGCTCTCTATCTTCCAGTCGGCGAACATGAGCTCTGTCGCAGGTTCGAGCCCATGGATACTGCCGTCGGCGGCAGCTATTCTGGCGCTGCACCCCGGCGATCTGGATGACATATTGGCCATGAAGCCTGCTGCAAGTACCCATAAGTCACCAGGTAGCCGACTGCCACGCTTACTGCCGTCGACTCGGCAGGCCATCGCCAAAAACCAGCATGCATTACTCATCACGTTATCATATTACCGTCAAAAGCCGGAACACATTGATCAACGTTAACCAGCTGCCCTGCCGCCCGTTCAGCACATTCGTCCCGATCGCTAACGGATGCCACTTTATTCACTGGCCGACCGAGAACAGAGCGGGGGTCGATGAAATAGCGGACCATGGCCGCGGTCGGTGGCCGGCACGCCCCAGCGGCTCGCGTGTCGCCGACAGCCCGTCCGACGGCCGGGTCACGCCAGAAGCCCCGCGGGCGTGTCCGGGACGTCTCCCGAGGCCACGCCTGCCCGCCCGCCGACAGCGGCCGGCGGCTGGGCGCGGCGGCGGGCCGGGCCGCGCCGGAACCGGACGGGAGAGGCGCGGCCGGCCGCCGCCCGGCGCCGGCGGTGGCGTCACCCGCCGCCGGCTGGCCGCCCTGGGGCCGCTTTATCTGCGCGGCCGTGCGCACGTGGTGGTGCCGGTCCCACGCGGGACGGAGATGGATCAGGACACTGAAGGGGAGGCGCTGGTGGATGGCGAGAAGGGTGCGACGGGACTGGCGCCGGAAGGGTGCGCAAGCCGAGAAGGGTGCGGCGGGACTGGCGCCGGAAGGGTGCGCAAGCCGGGAAGGGTGCGGCGGGACTGGCGCCGGAAGGGTGCGGAAGCCGGGAAGGGTGCAGCGAGGCTGGCGCCGGAAATGCTGGGGTGGCGCGGAGGAGTCATCGCGACCGGGTGCGCTGGCTCTCGTGAGAAGCATAAGATCGTGTGCAGCCACTCCGTCAGATCGGCGCAATGTGCGGCGCCGTGGGTTGCTCTGAATAGAACCTGCCGTGGTCTTCACCAGCCGTTGCTGAAGATGAATTTCTCACACAAAGTAGATGTGGGAATAAGTGCAACACTGTACGTTGCAGCTTGCCCTTGTCTCGTTAGAATGCTGTCGGTATTGTACTGTCGGCGTAGCGTAAATGTTCCATCAGCATCAAAGTTGCATATTCCCGCTGGGACCTCAGATAAAGCACACATCAAAGTGGCAGGACCGTCATGCATACAGTACCTATGCACACCCACATATCTGTGTGCAGCAACCCAATGTGTTCCCAGAAAAAAAAAATGCTTACTCCGCTGGAACTATCAGCACCGTCACCAAATGAATATGGCCAGCCCAGCTGAGGCTAACATGACTATAAAAACATTGCATGACTTGGCCATGGGCTCACTCGATGATCTCAAATGTTGACGTTGCAATCAACAATGTTCGCTTCGAGATGTAGCCAACCACTAGCGTGCCCAAGTGGCTCCAGAGGGGTCAGCCGAAGCCCCAGCAAAAACTCAATGCCTGATGTATGTCACTATAATGTCATAGCATCACAGCGAATATACGCCGTCATGCTGTAGCATTATTTCCAGACAGCTGTACGCTGACTTGCTTTCCCATGAGCAGAGCCTGGCTTCGCTACTGTGGCCAACATTAAGTGTAAGCGTCGCCCGGTTTCGCCCGTTGCGCACAGAATAAACAGCATCGTTTGCGCGGTTAGGCAAATAAGGCGGTTTGGGCACGTCGTAGATCGTCGTGCTGTTAGCCAATCACCAAGTGTCCAGTCACCCACCTCATCAGAACAACACCCTACCTAAGGCCACCGTCCGAACATACCGCTCATTCAGCGTAATTACCCTAATTGCCTTCGCGCCGCCTTACGCAGAGGCGGCCGTACCGACGCCCGAGTAAATGCCTTCACCTGAAGCATATCGACCCGGGGTCGGACCTGCAGGCCGTGGCCTCCGACGACCTCGGGCACGCGACCCGCCCGCTCGGCCACCCGCGACCCACACTGTCACTAAAGGCCCGGTCGCATAGGTGAGCATTGTCGGCCTCGCACACATCATCCCGGCGACTGGTACTGCGCTGTGGAAGATTAAAAACTACCACGAAGTTTATTGATGTGTGTGAACCAAACATCCGTTAGTCTTACAAACAACACGATACCGCTACAGCCACCATATACACAAACATATGTTTGAGAGGGTCGAAAGTTCTTTCACAGTGCAATCGTCGATGGTTTCTGTTTTCCTCTCGAGTTCGATCCCGTTTTTGTTCAAATCAGGCGCGAGCGTATTTTACGGCCCGACGTTTGTTAAGAAGATTCCGAGTTGCAATGATGTTCGCACTTATTTCAAGTAGCTGTCAAAAAAGTTGCGCGATTTATTATCCAAAACTTGTTCACCTATTTGCCAAAAAGCCAAAGAAACAATATCAACAAAAATCAACCAAAACAAAGCAATAATCCTGCCTGAAGGCTTACATCAAACCAATCGCAGCACCTGTAACCAAACATAATCTGTGCGTGACATTGGTCGTCCTAAAGTTAGCTGCATGAAAAATCATCAGACGGCGGTGGTCTTCGGCCATTATTTAACATCATGGCAGGTTACAAATTCTCGCGCACTCCTATCGTCTACCACATTATGCACTTTATGCACAATAGCAGACTCTACGAAATCAAAACAGGCAAGTGCAGCTAAGGGGGGGGGGGACTTAAGCCTGCACCCCCAATCTGGTGATCAGGAAAACCATTTTGATTTTGAACACCACAGTTACTACCATGTGCAGCGACATGAAGAGCCCAGCAGCTGCGTAATGTAATGGCAAGACTAACGGACATCTGAGTGAACATGAACGGTGCGCAGCTGAAACAATCCTTTAAGGCATCGGGGTAAGCCAATATCGATATCTCATTGATATGCTAGGTGCCGTACCTATTAGCGTTTGTTGGGTATGTTTTCTTTAGCGTGTAACGTGTAAGTGCTATGGGTAGGCTGGGACTCACTCGTAAAAACCCGCCTCCCCATCGCAAATCATTGCGGTCCCTCCAGCCACAAATGTTGCCTGCATTTCTACCGTCGTGGCCCCGAGGTCTTTCCTGATTGATGTGCTCATCCTCCCCATCATTCCTTACCCAAAAGAGACGACCCGCTCCTAGGTGACGAGGACACGATGATGATCAGCCGCGGGACGCTGTCGTCGAGGCCCGTGGCAACGGTGTGATGCGCTGGAGCGTCACGTCCTGCTGAACGGTCTGCAGACAAACGGCCACAAGTCACAATCGACCGCGGTGTATCTCGGACGCTCTCGCAAACGGCCAATGCCGGTGAAAAAGAGGGTTCGCGAGCTTCCTCTGAACGCAAAGGCGCCGAAAGCAAGAACAACTCTTGCCGAATGTCGGCTTTTATTCTTTGTTTAACCGCCGGCAGGATGTATACCAAAGGTGCTGGCACAGCATGAAAAGGTTGGATTTTTTCCAACAAGTGAACAGATTAAGCCCGGTAATCTCCCAGCTCGTGTTTTCTCGACGGAGCAAGACGTGACATTCTTGCAAGCATCTTTTCGGCCGTGCAGTTACAGGACCACAGCAATGTTGGCAATTTAAAGCGTTCTTCAGCTGACTTCGCAGCAATGATCTAAAGGTAACATGCTGCCCTATTTGCGAACATCACGAGTAGTTCTTCCATACTTGAGAGAAGCATTGTAGTCTATCCATGGGACCCAGGCCAATGCCAACACATCGCGTTATTATTCCAGCATGATTAACGAATGCCTGGTAATATGAGCGTTTGCAAACGGAATGCGATGAAATATCGCAATTTCTATTTATTGAAGCCAACAATTGCTTCTTCGGTGGGCCCATACCTTTACAATTGAGTTTATTTCCGATGGCTACATGGGTTTTTGGTTTCTATTCATTGCTCACATGTTAAAACCGTTTGGGCGGCACACACAAGCAAACTAAGCACGATGTACACGTCATCCTCGAAAGCAAGCACAGCTAAAGCAAAACAAAAACAAAAATGGGACGTCGCTGGATTCTGACATTTGCGAACAAGTAATTGAGAAAGCACCAGGCTGCACTGGGTGCGTTCCATAAGACGAAATGCCGCCTCACGCCAAAACTCAACAGAAATCCAAGTCCGCAATAGCACCGATCGAAGACAGAAAAAAGTTGCACTGAAACTAATGGCCAGGAAGCGTAAGTTGCCACATCCTATCCCCACCACGGGTTGCAGGGACCACCTCGGCAGAGTGACCTCTGGACGTTCGCGCCTGGCCGAGCCGGCGAGCATGCCACCTACCAAACTGCATCCAGCGCTGCGGCAGTACGTGTCGGTCGCGCAGACTGGCAATCAGCAGCAGCTGGCCCAGCAGTCCGGTCAGCAGCGCCGCGCCGTACAGTAGCCGCCGCCAGTCAGCCATCGCAGCCGCCGCCGCCGCCGCTGCTCCCTCGGCACCTCGCTCCCGAGCGACGGCGGCGCATCCGGCCCTGGCGGCAGGCACGGGCGCAGCGTGCTACCCCGCCTCCCGGCAGCCAGTGCAGCTGCGGGACACGGGCCGTGTCGAGGACGGTCCCCACGCCGGCGTCGCCCAGCTCGGCTCGGCTTACCGCCCGCGCCACTCACGTTACCCTTATCGGCCGTCGGCCCGGGCGGCTCCGCGGCGTTCTGACGCGGCGGGCGCGCCGCAGCCGCCCAGCGCAGTGATCGGGGTGTGGCGCGTGTTGAGGTGATCGCGACGGTGCATGACTCTCCAATTACGCCGGGGTGACACGGTTCAGTTGCGCCCCACAGCGGCCTCGCAAGGCCGTCGCCTCTCTCTCTCTCTCTCTCTCTCTCTCTCTCTCTCTCTCTCTCTCTCTCTCTCTCTCTCTCTCTCTCTCTCTCTCTCTCTCTCTCTCTCTCTCTCTCTCTCTCTCTCTCTCTCTCTCGGCCGGTTGCAACGAAAAGCATTTGGCCGGTTGTTGTCAGCATAACGTTCGGAGTCAGGCCAAGGCCTGACGGCTGACGAGCTATTTCAGCTTAAAACCCACTTTAAAACCGGAACACTCCCTTCAAAGGGAATGTTCCACATTCGATGATATTGAAGCAAGCATCATATTTAATGAAACAAGCTCACCTAAACTATTGGTATAATTTCAGGTGGAAAAGGCTGTTCTAGACAACATAATTCCTTGTTAAGTATGTTTTTCGACACGCCATTGTTTGATTACGTAATCGTACCTTGCACGACATTAATTTGAGCCAATTGACGGCCGTTGTCTTTAAATGGTGTCCACGAACGTCGGATATAAACGACTCGACAATTCTGTTTTTCTTGGCCTCGATCGCCGCGTGGCCAATGGAATGACCGGATATGAATGACGTGATTAAGGCGTCATGGATGCATGGGTGACCTTGAAAAAGTCCACACATCTTCGTGAGCATGGAGTTCAGAAACTAGAGGAGTTCCTATCTTAAGAAGGGTAGGACCGTGAGCTGCACCGAATGATCCTCAAGATGGCCATCTCAGTTCAAAACCCCATCCAAATGTGGAACACTCCCTTTAGAGGGAGTGAGCTGAACTAAAATATCTATATTGCAAATAATTTGGTGCGGTTCACAGCCTTGCCCTTCCTTAACCCTTAACCCCTCAAGTTTCTGAGCTACAAGTTCGGGAAGATGTGCAGAATATTTTGGGGGGACTATGTCAGGGTCACCCTGGCGTCCATGACGTCATGATAACGTCATTTGAATCTTATTATACCATTAGCCATGCGGCGATCACGGCCAAAAAATTATACTAGTCGAGTCGTTCATATCTGACATTCGTGAACGCGATTTGCAGATAAAACGGCCGTCAGCTGGCTCGCAATCAATGTTGAGCAAGGCACGATGACGTAATCAAACACTGACGCATTGATGAGCACATGTACTAAACAGAGAAATCACGCTGTCTGCAGCAATCTGTTCCATTTAAAAGCATAGCACTAGTTCTAAATGGTTTTATTCCAGCATATATGGTGCTTGCTTCAATATCTTCAAACGTGAAACATTCTCTGAAACGTCGAACGGCTGCTGCAGCAGAGTTTCCCCCTGCCCAGTCAGATGTGCGCCACGAGTTTTTGAAGAGGCACGTAAGCAGGCTGTTTTCACTATTAAATAACAGTAGTATCTTGGCAGGTCACATACATACGCTCCACGGAACTCAGTCGGGCACGACTCACGCGACTGCGTGTCTCGCACACCCGCTTCTCCGCCGCACTTCGGCCAGCCCGTGAGGACCGTACCTCCGCCACTCGACAGCCGACTTCACTTCCGACACGAGGTTGCAGAGGTGGTGTCCCACACCCTGGCCCACCGATACTGCCTGGCTGTCGCTGGGAAGTGGCCTATCAGCAGCTGGCCTGTTCGCACGCGCCGTCCGGCTCGGTTCGACCGACCGCCACAAGGCCACCCACCGATGATGCGGCCGAAGGCATGCATCCGCCTACAGCCCGCGTGGCGCACAATGCCTGGCACGCCGTTACGCAACAGGTGTGAGCCGGTGCCTCACTTAGATGCATCCCTTCAGGACTAGGGCAGGCGCCATCGGCAAGTCCTGGTGCTTCGTGACAGAAACCGGAAATGATGAGTCGGCAGCGAGGAGAGACGGCATGCTCTGCCCACGTTGCCAATCTGGCTGGGAAGCGTGCACGTGGCACGCGTGGGAGTGCTGCTGGTAGGCTGTTACTGTGATTGACGTCTTTTATATGAATCATGTCATTGAGTGTAGCTTCATTGCAAGCAGACGCACAAGCGGAATTTTGAAGGGGTCCAAGCACCTAAGCACCAAGCAGTGCTTAGACCCCAGCTATCGATACAAGAAAACCCAGTTAACCCTCGCCCTGATTCGCCATTCTCCTCACGACCTGGAACGATGGAAGGGACTCAATCCCCCTGCCGTTTCCAAGCTTAAGACGACAGGACCTTGCAGAGAGAACGGTTGATTGATAAAACTACGTGATCTTGTGATTGATAGGAAGTCTTATGTTGTTAGGTCAAAAATTGACCCCACTGTACCGGGTCAATGCAAAAATTGCCATGAACATCGAATTATAAAGTTAACACGCCTGTAGTTAAATACTTTATTACAAGTTGTCATTACATGCACCGTCATGAAACGCAAACAAACGTGTACCTTGTTTAATCATGAGTGCAATAATATGTGGCTGTCACCGGTCGGAATCGTGCAGGGACCATCGACTATTTTCATGTTAGTCCTCGTCCAAACGATGTTTTAACGCTTTCGTAACTGAAACATTTTCCACCTAATGGTTTGTACGATCAGTTCACAGCTCCCTGTCTAATAAATATTATAGTCGTCACTGTTGCACAGTCGATGTGTTTATAGCGTATGCACCAACACATTAGCGTGACAGCTCGTGCAGTAAAACTTTCGTCACCGGTGTGGCTTCGTCTGGCACGGCCCGAAGTGTTCTATATAACGGTAACGAGATACGGCTCGCGTACTGTATATGCAAAGCCATGCTAGCCATCCCGCCCGGCATGGCTTCAGCGAAACGTCAGGGTGTTCCCGTGAGACCGCCCTCCACAGCTCTGGGCACCAGGGGCGTAGCCAGCGCTTGCCACAGGGGGATACCATACATTTTGATGGGCGGATACGTAAACGAGCGAGTGCTAGCCCCACTGTCGGTACTTGTGAACTGAGAACAGACTAGTGGAACCACAAACGATAATAGGTGTAGTACCTAGCGTATCAGTGGGGCCTCGATGTCACATCGCCCTGGTGCATTAAACAATTGTTTAAGCTACGCACCTTACATATCCACTCGGCTATCTGTTGGCCTTGTTACTAAATTACGCCTGTTGGGCGCTACATGCTGATGTCCATGGTACTGTCTAAGCAATTTACACTCAACAAAGCTTTCCTGATCACCTGCGGGCACTGTCACTCCGGGGCCGCCCTCGCGGGGTCTGTACCCTCACTTGCGGGCACTGTCGCTCCGGTGCCGCCCTCACTGAGCCCGTCCTCTCACCTGCGGGCACTGTCGCTCCGGGCCGCGCCGCCCCCCGCCGCCGCCGCCGCCGCCGGCTCGGTTCTGGCCGGCTCCACGGCTATTCCCGGCGGCGGCGGCGGCGGCGACGGCGGCGCCTGCGCCGCCCGCGCCGCGGCCCCCGCCCCCAGCCGGTGCGTGTCCCGCCGGGTCGGCGGCGGTCGGCCGGGCGACCGCTAGCGCCATCGGCGCTGCACGACACTCCGAGCTGCAGCCCACGCCGCTGCTCGCTCGCCCGCGTGCAAGACATTTATGGCCCTGAGGAAACCATCTCAGCAATGTATCATCGTTGGGTCGAGGCGAGACACGGATGGGCGCACCAGACCCGCGGCCGGTACGCGCCGGCCCCAGTCGGCGCTCCCTTTGTTGTTTTATCCGAGCGGAAGTGGTTCGCTGTCAGAGGAAGGGGTGGCAAAGGTTTATTTTGTCGCCGACCGAATTTCTGCGAACAAAATTGCTGCCAGCAGCGTAACGCTATGCGATATGAAGAAATAGTGATGAAGTACATATCCAGTGGCGTCATCAGAGTTTCAGCGTATCGCCGAAAGCCTCTTTCAACACCGCAACTTTCAAATCATGCGCACAACCGAAGTGTTCATTCATACAATGGCATCAAGCTAATATCAGGACAACTGCTGCTGCTAGAAATACAGGAGCACTGGTCTTAGACTATGTGATAGTCCAATCGCAAAAGTAGTCCTCTTTCACCCCCGGGCCTTGCCGGGGCCCCACGTTTAAGCTCCATCTAAGGCTGGATTGGCTATCCTTGATCGCGTGGGCGGTGGAAGACCTCGACAGCCAGAGCAGCTGAAAACGTGGCAGAATTCAAACCGGTGGCAGGCAGCACCGGGGAATGGCGTCCAGCATGCGGTCCGCCCCCAGCCCATATCCCCTTATGAAAATTATGTGTGTGCTTTGAGCCCCAGCCGAGCCAGCATCATTTCTTCACTTTTCGCTAAGCATGCTTTTTTCGCCAAGCATGGCGCGACACGTGTTACCTGGCGGGCGCCTTTCGCCGTGCCCCAGCAACTGCCATATGCAGGTATGAATTGAGCTTCGACGCTACCTGGGAGGGAAGGAGCAAGATATTGGGCTCCGCGTTGAGCTCAGATTGAGGTGAAGGCGGCTGCGCAAATGCTGAAAAAGAGGGTAGTGGATGCATGCTGGAAGAAGAATGCATCGGGGTTACGGAAATATGGGATCAAAGAACTGAAGAAAAGATATCAGTTCTTTCATACTCTTGTCATGGTGAGCAAAAACAAACCAAGCAAACATGTACGGCTGCAGCCTCACTTTAGAAGACTGTCACATGCTTTGACGAGCCGAATGTACCAGAGATTACAGGATCATCCTTACGCTGAACTCATGCGTCTGTTGCTTCTTGAACCAATGCCTGACAATGTTGTATAATTTCATGCAA